TCAGTTTAAGTGAAAATTTTCAGTTTCTCTCAGAACGAAAGAATACTACTAGGTATTATAAGGGAAATTATAAAAAAAGCAAAAATTGTACTGTTTTATAAGCATATTTATTTATACATAAAAATAAATAAATTTTATTTTAATAAATAAAATTTTAATATTTAATATAATAACAAATAATAACAGTGTTTATTCCACCCACCTACCAACTTTAAATGCAGAAGAACTGACTGTTGCAGGAAACGATCAGCCAATTTTTTAAAGGGCATTAAAAATCTCAATCTCTGCCTAACTGCAATAACAAAGTGAATATCCAAGCAAAGAAGACTTTACTAGAATCATGACCCTGAACCATTTTCAAGTCCAGTTTTAATCCTAAAACAAAATATAATAGGTATATTAATTAAGTTTCTATCTGGTTACTATAAACCAGCTATAAACAAATGAAAAAAAAATGAAAAAAAAAATTAAATGTATTAATTTTTTATCTCATTCGAAATATGTTTGACACTACTACTTTTTTATTTTACCGGGTGTCTTTAACATACCATCAGAGAAAGGGGGTACCAATACATATAAAAAAATAGATGATACTGGCTCCTGCAGCAAATAAAATAACAAATAGTATAACCAAAAATTATAAGTAACAAAATAGGTAACAATACCTATCTGAAACAAAGGAATTTGTTCCCTATCCATATTCATAAGTCAATAAAATAAAGAGTTTAAAAAAAAAGGTAAATCACCAAAAGAAAAATTAACTAACATGACGAATTGTCATGATGTTGTCATCTTGGTTGTCTTGATGACGAAGGCGAAAGGCGATTGTCTATTTAGAAATTACGTTTTATATATGCTGCTTCTTTCTCTCTTGTTATATTAGAATGAGATAGTGGGCCCAATAGACGCAATGCGCAGATCAACATAAAATAGAACCAAATTTTGCGTTCTGAGTTGCGCTACGGGAACGTTGTCCCTCTCTTTGCCATTTAATTTGCCAGTCTTTATTTGTTTGTCTATGGTTATGCTTTCAAAGCGGTAAGCGAAAGTATTCGATGAGCGGAACGCCAAGCAGTCGATTTTGGTATTCTAGTTGCCGTGATTATTTTCTGGATACGCGTTGAGCCCATATTGACAGCATCGCAATTTCTCAGGTATCTAATAGTCAAATGCGGTCAAATGTGAATAAAACAATGAAAAATGTCAATATTACGTGAATTTCATAAACCTATTGTTGAGTTATGTCAACCTATTTTTCTACGGATATGCCATTGTTCTTATTATACGAGGGAAATGTATGGGAAATGTTCATGAAGTTTTTTTTCTCAGCATTTTCGTTTAAAGTCGTAAATTATCAATTACTTATTGAGGAATTATTTCTTATTCGTTTTGCTTGTCGAACTGTCAGTAAAAATCGAAAAAAATGTGATTTTGTGCTTTATCCTGCTCTTTAATGAAAATTACTACTTCTTCTATAAATTCCTCAATAAGTAATTGATAATTTACGACTTGGCAGCTATAAATATTGTTCAGAACATGAACATGATTTTCAACATTTCCTCGTATAATCAGAATAATGACATATCCATAGAAAAATAGGTTGACATAACTGAACAATAGGTTATGAAATTCACGTAACATTGACATTTTTCATTGTTTTATTCACATTTGACTATTAGATATAGTCTGTGAAACGAATAACTTTGAATTTGACAGTTCCCGCGGGCTTTTCTAGTGTTAATTTTATTAGGTTAGCAACTTGCGGCCATGCTGACGCAATGCCGTCTCTAATAGAACAGCTCGGAGCGAGATTTATGACGTCACGCTAGTTAGATACTACGGATTAATAAATATGTATTAATTAATAAATATATATGTTACTGTAAATGTCCGAAATGCGGCAAAAAACCTAGGATAAGCCCTCTAAACCTAGGATTTACCAAAAGCATTAACTAATTAGGTTAGCCCGGTTATTTGGAGGGTGTTAATGCATTGGTTAGCCTGGTTATTTGGAGGGTCTTAATGCATTAGTTAGCCTGGTTATTTGGGGGGTGTTAATGCATTGGTTAGGTGGTTATTTGGTGGGGTTGGTTGGTTTTTACTACCACTTGCTTTTGGTAAATCCTAGGTTTTACCGCATTTCGGACATTCACAGTAACATATATATATTTAGTATATTTTATATGTAATTTTTTGGATTATATTCGACACTATTTTTTTCATATGACACAGCACTGATGAAGGCTATAATGTTAGCCGAAACCAAATGAAAAAAAAAATGAAAAACCAAATGAAAACTTAATCAGCGTTTTTCCCGAACCTAAATCCCAAGAAAATCAAAAATTTTAAAATAATTTTATATATAAAATGACAGCGATCTTTATTTCATAGCCATCGCTGACGCCTCTTTTTCTATAATATTGTATTATTTGCAAATATAATTTTTCGAACATTGATACTTGCAAAATATGCATATAAATTTTGTGAATGTAAATAATAATACATCACTATTAGTAGATGTTGAATGTTTTTTGTTAAATTAGATCGATTTTCAAACCCCCAAATTTAAAATATATTTTACATTTTACCCAATATCTGTATGGT